GGCTGGGACCCGGCGTCCCCGAGCGGCCGGGCTGGGCCTTGGGAGCCCGGGCTGGAGCTCTGCGAGGTGGCTGCGGTTTCTCGTAATAACCTTGGAGGAGAGTCCGCGAGTCGAGAAAGACCGTCTTGCTCTGGAGCATCTGTTTCTTCATCGCGTCAGCCCCTTTCCTAACACTGCAGAGCTTGTTGTGGCTTGTTTCGGAAATGCCGAGACCAGTGCTCACACTTGAGGGTGGGAGAGGGGAAGGGAATAGGCATTCTCCCCTCCCCCCCAAAAAATAATTCAACCAGGCCAACAACAAGCAAAAAAAACCCAGCCCTGCTGTGTGAGCTCCCCAAAGCCCGAGCCTGCTCGCAGATTCTCGCCGCACCTCCACTGACTTAAATGACCTTGGGAAAAGAATCGTGCTTCCGAGGACGCCCTCTTTATCTGTCGATTGTGGAGGGAAGACTCGCTGGACCTTCCCTGCCTTTTGGGGATGGTGTTGAGGGTGGGGTACGTCGAGGCCGGTCCTGGTTCTAGGAGCTGGGCTCCTGTCAGAGCTGGGGGATTTTAGATCACCAAGAAAGATTTTTCTACTTCCCTTAGGGAGGGGTAGTTTTTAATTTTAGGAGGCTGTTTCCCTTCCGAGAATCTGTACAGTATGTTCCAGATTGCTTTCTGTCACTGTGTGTGCGGCTTTGGTGGCATTCATGTGGTTAAGTTGAATAACCCCCACAGAAAATTCTTCATGTCAGAAATAATTATTTTGCGCAGAATTCCCCTTGGGGCAGATTAAAGTTTTGCTCAATTTACTCAAGAATTTTCCAGGTTTCTAAAATTAAATCACTTTTCTAAACATAGTAACTGAAGTTTGAAAAACGAAATAGTGGGATGGGAAGGGAGTTGGAGTGTGAACAAAGGCAGCAAGTACAGACTCATTGTTCATCTGTGATTACTAATGCGGATTGTGAATTAACCTGGGTTATTAGGTGTTTTCTTAGTCTTAAATAATTTAAGGCCGAGAAAGAGAACTAGTAGTAAACTGCCTATTTTGTGGCTGTAATTGTGCTTGGTGGTATAAATCTCACAGCACCCTCTCAGCAGAGCTGTGAAGTGGTAATTGGCATCCCTGTTTCACAGATGAGCAAACTCAGTTTGCTCAAACTAAGTTGACATTCCCAGGTTTATGGGGTACAGCTAGTAAGATGTGGAGCAGGAATTCAAACCCAGTCTGTTTCTAAGATCTCTGGCTACCTACAGAGTGCAT